TTACTAAATTTAAGTGAAACTTAGAATGCAAGAGCCATCATTTATTCCTTATGTGGAAATATTCACAGATGTGATAAAATTAAGCACACACCTTTTTTATGACCTGGCAATTTCACTCATGGTATATATCTGATATAGGCTGCATTGTGCCTCTTCAAAGTTTATATGTTGAAATGCTAAACCCTAATACTTCAGTTAGAAATTCTATTAGGAGATAGGGTTTAAAAAGGTGATAAAGCTAAAAAAATCTGGCCACCAACATGAGCTCTAATTCAAACTGACTGTTATATGAAGAGGAAATTCAGACACTGAGACACCAGAGATGGACATGCATGGGAACCTATAAGCAGTCTATAAGACAAAGGGTGATGACCCTGCTGATACCATGATCTTGGATTTTCAACTTTCACAGCTGTGAAAAGATACATTGCTATTGTTTTTTGTGTACCACTCTGTAGCATTTTGCTATGGCAGCCCTTGCACACTCCACTATAACCAATGAAACTTTCACATCTCTATCCTACCTGCAAGATGTCATACACAAGGCTGCTCACCACAGCATTAGTTGAGGTCCCCTGGGTACCCATCAATGGACAAAATGTCTATAACGGCATGGGTAGATCATAAAAATGCATCATTTATTGAAAAAGTGGGCCAGAGAAAAGCAAAACATGTAAGGCAACAGTATTTGTGTAAACGAATAGCATTGAAAACAACATACATCATGAAATAATAACACATGAAAACAAAAGGATAAATAAAATATATTAGAATGGATGTCACAAAAGGGCATATGTGAACAAGAAAAGAGCCTTACACAGATTGGTGTTGATAGTGGACCATAAACTGAGGTTTATCATCAATTAAACCTTCTGGCTATGAGGTTAAAAATCCAGGTCCAGTTTGACCCTAAATGATATTTGCTCCAAGCTTCAAGATTGTTTGTAGGTTGGGGAGAGAAGCACCAATGGAGATCTAATTACATGAAGGGTAGCAATTTTTTAGGAACCAATAAACCTTAAAAAGATAGAGAATGCATTGATATTTCATTTCAGGTCTTGGAACCTTTGCCAAAGTATGGCTGGCCATAAGCCTAGTTCTTCTGAGTGTGGGATAGTAATGGTTACTCAAGTTGTTTCCCATCTTCAGCCCTTGAAGACATGTGGTCAGCCCGAGGAGAGGGTCTGCAGTAGGGAGAGAGGAAGAGCTGAGGGGATTGTGTGACAGGAGGGCAGCACTGCTGAGTGGCTAGGCTTCAGCAGAGGTGTGGACTGTGCAGGCAGAAAAGAACCAGCAGATGGCACTGTGAGAGGGACTCAGCCTAATGTTGCTGGCTTTACAGAGTCTGGAAGAAGGGACCGTAAGTCAAAGAATACAAGTGGCTTCTAGAACCCAGACAGGGCAAGGCAATGGATTCTCCATTACCCTCCAGAAGGAACACTGCATTGCTGATGCTGTGATTTTGCCCAGTGAGATCCTTTGGGATTTCTGAGCTCCAAAACTATAAGGCAATAAATAATTTGTGTTGTTTAAAGCCACTCATTTGTATGGATGCAAAGGAAAACCAACACTCAGCAACATTTGTCATGAGAAGACTTCGTGGAAGTTGGCGGCAATTTACAATGAGAGGTATGGAGACTATAATGGGAAACAGGAATGGTAGTCATCAGGTATGTTGGGAATCAGAGAAAGATCAGGATCAGGAAAGAAAGTGTCATCAACATGACACACGCCTTTCCTCAGAACATGTTTCTCTATCTCTTCAAAATTAGCAATTGGACTCTTTTATGCCAGATGGTCCCAGCTGGGGGTTGTGAGCAAAGTGGGATGAAGATCAATGTGACACCCATCATCATGGAGCTGGAGCCAGGTACCTGAGTCAAGATGGTGCAGTACTCTTCCAAATGTATGATCCTCTCTTGAAAGAAGGAAAGAAAGAAAGGAAAGAAGGAAGGAGGGGAGGAAGGAATAAAGAAAGAAAGAAAAAAGAAAGAGAAAGAAAGAAATCAATAACAAAAGTTTCAAAACATCAGTTCTCCCTACTGTTGGCATTCACGTTTTTCTCCTAGAGTGAGATATTATGACCCTCAGCTGAGCCCACGTTGCTCCAGACTCCATGCATCTGCTTATGATGCAGGGGAACAAAGAATTCTGACTTTGGAGACAGACCTAAATTTCTAAATAACCTCCCTTCATGTGGGGTGAGGCCACTTTCCTTCTGAGTGTCCGTCTCCTCTTCCAGTGAAAATCTGGGTCATAGCTCCTTCCTGTCTGGCTGGTTGGGTGACTGGTGATAATGAGCGGGCAGTGGCTGGCATAGGGCTGACCTTCAAATTGGGACTTTTAAAAAGCCTTCATTTTCTTGATGCATATTCACTACTCCAGAGAAAATCTCTTAAAATCAACAGATCTTAGACTTATGCAAATCAAATATAAAAGGTGTTATTTCACTTCTTTTACAAAAGTACATATGATGGAAATATTGCATTTTGGATAAGAAATGATTCTGCTGCCTTACTGCAGCACTTAAATGAAACCTTTCAGGAATACCAGCTTAGTACTGATGCCAAAGGAAAAAAAAATCTTGATTTTATAGGAAGGAGCTAAAGTCATTACTTTTATGAAGCTTCATAAATGTCATTCAAACACACCATCCTATTTTGATTTGCTATTGAAGCCTTTACTTATGCAAATGATGACAAACGTTAAGGGAACCAGTTTCCTCTGGAATGCTAATACAACCACACAGAAGGGAGGAAGAATTACTTCTGAAAGAAAAGTCTATATTGTGGCTCCTTGAATCAGATAAAAATGAAGCTTCCAGAAAACCTCATTGATTAGGGCTCTGCTCATTTAGATATTCTGTTAAAAGCAAAGGACCCGGAATCCATTTTCTTCTTACAGGGAGGGCAAATTAATCTCATAAACATAATTTTAGAGAATGGAATTTCTTGACGTATTTCATAACACACTTCGTTTTCAGATGTCTTGTGGTACTTTGTAATTATTAGTTTTATTTATCAATTTATTTCTTCTCTTTAATTTAGACATTCACTCATATATATTCATTTGATTGGCCCCTTTTTCATGTGTAGCTTCATTCAATAATCATTAAAAACCTGCTCTATACAAGCTTCTGGGGCAAGCATTGAGAGGAAGATGAGCTTTGAATTTTGCCTCTAGCAGTCTACAGAGCGAGAGGGGCAAGAAAGCACCCAGGGAGGGCCCAGCAGGGTGACATGGCAGACTGACAACACACTTCTGTGTTCCTGCCCATTGCTGTTCATCTAGAAATGACAGAAGGTACATTTAACAAAATTAGAAACAGCACTGGTGCCCTTCGTGGGCATTATGTGTCTGAGGGATTCCTAAAACCTGAGAAGGAAGATGTAGTGTGGCAAGAGGAAAAATCCACAGTTAGAAGACACACTGCGAAATGTGTTAGTGGCTGTGGGCATTCCACGTTCTGAAGGGAATTGGTGCCAAGAGCCAGATGGGGCAGCTGACCAACAACAGGAGGGTAGTTGGGGTACAGCAGGAGGAGTGACCAAGCAGGACTTCCATCCCTCTTCCTTCACATACAAGCCAGTGTCTGACCTCTGTGGGAGGGAGGGGAAGATATGTATGACGCTGCTGGGGCCCCAGGAGCTGCCATCAGGATGGATTGGCCCCACTGCACAAACTGGCTGCCCAGCAGAATCCTGCCCTACCTAATCTTCTATTTCCCCCTTATCACTAGAGGGAGTAACACATCAGATTCTTAATCTCAAACATTTTATCAGGGAGACAAACAGAATATGAATAGCTAGGTGTTGGAATTAGAGTTAAGGTTACACCACATGTAGGCTGCAGGCAGGTTTCACAGGAGAAAAGACTAAAAGCTGGTAAAAATGGTACAGACTCAAAAAGAAGTAGAGATGGGAGAGAGAGGCGAAAGAGAGGATCAGATAAGGAAGGGTAGGGAGGGGTGAGGAGGGGAGAGAGAGAGAGAGACAGAGAGAGAGAGAGAGAGAGAGAGAGAGAGAGAGAGAGAGAGAGAGATTTTCTAGCTTTCCAGTTCCCTTGAGTATACCTATAGATCACAGGTATGTCCTGACAGAGGTCTCATGAGAACTCTCTCTTTTTCAAAAGATGAAATGAATGAATGTATTCTTTGGAACCCCTTATTGAGACATAATGTATTCTGATTCCAAAGAATACTATCATAGTTATACAGTAAGATCAGTCTGGACAGTCAATATTTTTCTTCTTTTAGTATCAATAAAATTATATTCACAAGTGTATATCCCTTGGGGGTATAAAGAAGACTCAGCCTTGCCATTACAAAGAAGAAAGAAAGAAAGAAAGAAAGAAAGAAAGAAAGAAAGAAAGAAAGAAAGAAAGAAGAGAAAGAAAAAGAACAAAAAGTAAGAGAGAAATAAAGAAAGAATTTATTTTCTTTTACAGAGGCTGCTTGACATGTTCAGTGGCTATTCCTTAATTTTCAGATTAAAAAATTATTTTAGTATAAAAAGATCCTAAATAATGAAATATACTTACACTAAAAATTCTATTTATTGTCTGTGAGAAATTTAAACTTCACTGAGTATCTTATTTTAATTTGTTAAACTTGCAGTATCTTTGCCTAGGGAGAGGATCCCTTTTTAACTTTTTCTCACATTACAATTAGTTCTTATTTTCTCATACAAAAATTATTAGTTTACTAGACCCCAAGAACCTTGAAAATAGGGATTATGCTTTAATTTGCTCCCAGTCTCTGCATTCTAACACATTTTAACAATGCCTAGAACAAATATTTTTTGAATAAAGCACAACTTAATAACCCTCATGCCTTATGTGCAAAGTCTAGTGAAGAGCAATAGTCTTTATATTGGTCCTGTGTTAGCAAATTTTCTGGGTGGAGAGAGTCTCTGTGGGTTCTGTGGTCTCACAATCATCTTTACAGAGTTTCACCCAGAATCTTTCAAGAAAATCCACTTACAAGATAATATGCATGGTACCTTGCAGATGTCACTCCAGTGCCCAGGACCGTTGTCATTGATTGCTCTAACTTTAAACAGGTACTCGGTGTTGGGGGTCAGGTTGTGTATCTCCAGATTCTGCTGCGCTATGTCCCGAATTTGTCCACAGAGCTCTGTCCGCACGTTGTTAGGAGGAGTAGTAATGATTTCATAGAATTCCATTTCAAAAGAGTCCACATCTTCTGCAGGGCATGTCCAGTAAACCTAGGAAGAAATGGACACACTGGTGTGGGACTAGTATTTATCACTCAGGTTTCTTTCTTGTGAAGATTTATGCTGACTCCCTGGAGCTCCCTGGCTGACCACATACCCTATTATATCCCCTTTCTTTTCAATTTTGGAATATATATATTCCAATAATTTGGATTATACTACACTGATTTCTTCTTTCATTTACTATATTTTATATATTTTCCTGTATTATTAAATATTCAGTTGTGTGCATCTATTAAAAATTGCCCTATAAATAATTCAATCCTTCTATAATTGAGCATTTAGGTTGTTTCTAGTTTTATACTCTCATAAATAAATATTGCAATGAAAACATTTGTGCCTGAATCTTCATCTGAACTTTCAATCATTTTAAAGGAAGGGATTTCTAGAAATAAAACTGAGTTTAAAAATTTTGAGGATTTTTACAATATGTATTAATGATTTATAAGACTAATTTTAACAATACAGAAATACCTCAGTTCATGATTGCTTCTCTTTGCAAACAGTTTGATTTGCAAAAGAAAGTATTTGGCAAAATTTTGCTTCATTTGTTCAAAAACTGCATCAGATGACAATCACAGCCACAGCCACCTTCTCCACACAAACACAAACATAGCCATCTTTCTCAAAATTGTAAAGCAAATTAAGTATGTAAACTGAGGTACCACTTGTATCTTCTGTGCCCCAGATCCTAAAGATTTGAAAAAGATTCAACACAGACTTATCTTACAGAGCAGTATGATTCCTATGACCCTAAAATAGAGATCAATGATATTTTTATGTCAACTGTCACTGCGTGGCAGTAGGTAAGGTGTCTTTTCTTGATAACCAATGACTTGACTGGGTTGTTCTTTGTAGATCTCTTTCTTGAGTTCACCCAGGAACAACTGTAGGGAGTATTGGGCGACTTTTCCCAGAACCAACTATAGGACAGATACCACCAGTGCTTTCTCTTTAAAACAAGGACTTGTCAACTCCCTACAAAGTTTGGGTCGTCACAGAGATGAGACCCGGCTGCCGTCCCTGACCTGGTGTCACTTACACTATCGATTTTGCTGGGTTAGAGTCATTTTGCGTCAACTGCTCAGTCATGGGCATCTCTGTGTGAAGGGCAGGGAGGTCTCACTGTGTCTGACTGCTTTCATGTGGTTGTTCTTGGTGTCAGTTATGGACTTCAAAACACAGATTACCACATCTCAGAGGAAGTGATAGTTGGCTTGGGTCTGGCCTTCATTTTTTTTGTTTGTTTTTTGATAAACCCTTTTTACCAAAGTGTGATCAGTATATAGTAGCACTGGAAGTCTGTAGAGAAACAGACTAAACCTATGGAACAGAATCTGCATTTTAGTGAGATCTCCAGGTGTACATTGATGTTGGAGAATCACTAGCTTAGGTTCCAAAAGCACTAAATGTTTTTGAGAGTATAAATCATCTTCTTAGATTATGGGGTCTCTGTTACAAGGCAGCAGATGATTGCTTGGCTTGGAAGCTGTCCTTCAGGAATAAGACAGACTCTCATGGAATACCTACTTACATGTTAATCACTTTGCCTCTTTGAATTTTAACAAAGTATCACATAAACAATTCGATTTAGGTACAGCTGGACTTGAAAGATCATTTGTCCACTTTAGGTCATGAAGACCAAATGGGAATCATGTCTCTTGAGGCCAAGGGACAGAAGCTGACAAGACCTATGTGAAATTTCACTCTCATCTTTCCCCTCAAAAAAAAGACTGGGGAGGGGGGCGGTGATCTCAAGAGGTAAGAGTTGGAATTATATTATGGAGTATCCTTTCAATTTTTTCAAACCACAAATCTGAATATTTTCTTTAGGAAGGATAGTAGTTTAAGGGGATCAATAGCTGAGTAACCAAACCTACATTTCTATGCTTACTCTATTACAAGCATTGTTTTGAAAAATACCACAGTCTTGAAGAAGTCTCTTCAAATTCCTTTAGTTCCAGTGTGGTTCCCTTTGTATCAGGGGCAGGATAGTCTGATGAATTTGCAAGGATAAGTTAAATACACTGACTGGTTTAAGGCATTCTTGGCTTACTGAAAGCTTTGAAGGCGCTGACTGTAAGTGTCCAGGGGAGCACATTTGAGTGACCAGATCCTAGTGATCAGAGAAATATATACAACCTTCTATGACTATTCGCTTCCCTTTTCTGACCTGTGCCGGTTCCTTACCTTGGCAGCTCTTGGATACACCAGAGTCTGGTAGATAACAATTGGACCTGGAGTCTTCACAGAGGCCTCATTGAATGAGTACCAGTTGTGAAAGCTGTTGCTATCTTGAGCAAGCTGGTTATCTGCCGCAGTACTCCAGTAGCTGTAGAGGGCGTCTGTGGGTTTGGCAGGGGCAGCCGACTGGGCTCTCCCACAGGCCTCCAGGCCCATCTTGGCCTTTTCTGCAGAGGGGTTGAAAGACAACAAGGAGGAGCTTCGTTGGTATATCTGCTTGTTGCCAAAACTGTGGGTGCTGAATGTGACCTTTCTGGCAATCATCATTTCTGAGTGATTGGGATAGGGAGAGGGCAATGAGTCCCCTGAGGAGCACACCTTCTTGGGTCCTGAGGGGAAGAGCTCGTGGATGGCACTGGAGAGCTCAGCAAAGTCCAGGGGTATGCAGTGCAAGGAGTGGAACCGTAGGTGGGGGTCGGGCCTGTAGGTGCTCTGGATGCCGTCCTCGATCTGGTCCACAAGAATCTTTGCAGACTGCAGGAAGGCCACCTGGCCTGTCTCCTTCAGGGCTTCCTTCGAGTAGGCAATGAGGCCATCCATTTCATTCACTTTCAGGGTTGTGATCTGCACATATTTTTCTATCTCCTTCTGCCTGGACACTTCTAGATTCTCCACCTGTTCCATGATGTCTTTCTCTTTCTCGTGAAGGATGCTGCGCAGCTTGAGAAATCCGTTTCTGATCTCTTTTCGCTTTGCCTCCTTGTCAGCTTTAAAGCTGCCTTTTAAAATGTTGAATTCCATTAGGTCATTGTCAATTTCATATCGGACTGCAAAACAACCAATGTTAGTTACTGTTAAAATTTTCATCTCCCCAGCTGTCAAAGCTGGAGCAAATTATATCGGGCTCCACGGGAGTGAGTGGGGAGGGAGGGAAGACACTTATAGGTGGGTGAAACAGGTCGGAATTAGGCTTACAAAATGCATCCCCTTCTCTCCTTCCCTTCCCCTTCCTCTCCCACTTCCCTCAGGTAAAACCCACATGCTTCCCTGGCATATGTCTGTCTTGTAACAGTGACCTTTATGGCCTGAGGTCTGAATGTGAAAGTTTATAGCCACTCTTGACATTGGTTTTCACCAGACTTCACTTGTCTGCAAGTTGGACTAGAGATGAGGTGAACTCAAAAATGACGGGCCCTACTTTCTCCCGTGGGGAAAGTAAGCTTTTGCAGAAGTAGGAGAATGAAACTTCTGATGATTTCCTCTAGATGATCCCTTGCCCAAGAATTCTTGCTGTCAAAAATCCAGCCCCCAATACTGTATGGTATCTCTCATTTGAGTAAGGCAAAATATAAACAAGGAGTTCAACAGAGCATGGATAGAAGGAGGCAAAGAGATGGGTCTCTTTCAAATGCAAAAGGGACTCTAAGAGATCTACAGTGAGATATGAGGAGTGAAAGGGCACATAAGCTGAGTAGAGGTATGCTATGCATAGGGACCTACCAACCTCAGTGAGTGTGAACATTATATGGCATAAACTCGAATTAAGACTAATATCAATAAGAATGAAAATAAGGAAAGGAGAATTAGAGGGGGGGGAAGATGGGATATTGGGTTAAAAAAAGAAAGCAAGTTGTATGATGTGTTTGTGCCCACTCCCCAAGATGACTGTAAAATGCATACACTATAGACATATACTGCAAAGAAAAGAAAAGAAAAGAAAAAAAGAACTCAGCCCAAGAAAAGTGGGAAATCACAACAGTTATCCTTCAAGAAAGGGTCTGTTGTCACCTTTGGAGGCGAACCAAGTGACCCTGTGTTCTCTGACACAGTATGTGGAATTTACGTCCACTCTGTCAAACCTGGAGCCCTGCTGTATGCTGCCTGCCATTTAAGGGGCCAGGGATACAGGCAGGAGGAATATGAGCTCTCACATACTCACCAGTGCTCCAACTTCAAGGAGCCATGGCAAGGGCAACACCTGGCACTTCTCTGTAAAATTAGCACCTTTATTGGCTTTGAGGGATTTTAGTTACTAGGCAGCAATTTAAAACCCATCAACTTTTGATAGTGTGTACTATAGTTAAGATCCTCCTCCGGGAAGACCAAGGCTTCAGTGAGCTGATAAACTGTACATTTTATCAAATTTTATTCAAGAGCAAGGGTGACCAAATATTTTTGCACTTAGCTCTTAATATTACCCTTTGTTCACAGAAAGCTGTCTTCTATGGATGGTGGCTATGGTAATAATGATGTGCATTTGAATAAAAGAAACCAAGGGTCCTGTCAGCCTGTGAGAAGGGGGACCATGCCTACCTTAGTTACCACTGTGACCAGAGAGTGCAGAAGTGGGTAAATGGTTTTGTTTTCTAGCATCTTGGAGGCCAATGCCAATATTATTACTTTTTGACCGTTTCTGTAATGTCTCCATTTCCTTTGCCCACCTTTTGCTTCACAGTGTTCTTGATGCAATGCAGGTGGGAGTTTTACAGGAAACTATTAGTTTGTAATTTCAGTTTCTTTTTGATCTCTTCCATAAGCAAGTTCCTTATTGGAACTTATGGCAGCTGAAATCCTGTTATACATTATTATCTTTGACTATTCAATAGTTACCCATTGATAAACTCGGAAAAGAAATACCCTGCGTTGTTAGACATTAGTTAAGCTTATGTACAACAAAGTCCTGAAAGAAAGAATAAGAACTTTCAGACAAGGGAGATGAGCCAGTGCCAAGAGAGAAGAAAAGAAAGGGGCTAGAAACACTCTCATTCTAAAATCTTTTTTTTTTTTCATTCTAAAATCTTGCAAGCTTAGCAAGAGTTGATCTCAGAATAGAGTCGAATCAAGGTCTTTTTCAGATAATATACTAACAGCTATCTATTAAACATTTATTGTTAACCATATCCACATATTATCATATATTATATGTGTCTTCCTATATCATAGATATTGTTTCCATTTATAGATAAAGAAACTAAGATCAGAGAGGTGAATCGAGTGCCCGGAGTCACATGGTCAGTACATGGGAGAAACCAGACCCTGTCCTGCATCTGTTTATCTAGCACCAAAACCTAAGTTTCTTAATTTCTCCAGCTGTGGTTCTCAGCTCTCTGTGAACACTGGAGTCACTTGAGTAGTTAAAAAACACAAAAACTGTTTTCTTGACCGCATCTGCTGAGATTTTAGAATCAGTTGGCCTGAGACAGTGCTCAGGAATCCAGATGTCAGAGTTTTCAGTTAGGTTTAGAATTTAACCCAGATCTTTGTAAGTGGCCAAGCAAGGTGCACCAGCTCAAGACAGCCCTTTCCCTTTGTCAGACACTGTAGTCTCTGTCCTACAAACATGCACACGCACAGAGGAGGGAGGCAGCTTTTCCCTGAGCTGCCCAGAAAGCTCCCATTGAATATAGAGATGGACCAGAGACAGACTTTGCTAATATTCATGTCACCCACGACTTCTCACCAGCATGGATTTCAGGAATACTTTGCTAAAAAAAAAAAAAAGTATTTTTGCTAAAAAAAAAGATTCAGATTCTGATGCAATAGGCTAGATGGGCTGAAGAGTCTACATTTCTAACAAGCTCCTAGGCAGTTCCAACATCTTGGGACCACACTTTGAGTGGCACAGAGCTGCATTTCTGAGCTCCTCTCAGTCTAGTTCTCAATCTTTGCTGCACATTAACTCACAAATGGGAATTTTAAAAAAATCATCAGTCAGTTGCACTTCTGTAGAAATAGGTCAGGGGCATAGGATGTTAGTAAGGCTCCCAAACTGAATTTTCTATCGAGGGCTTATTTCTCAGTGTATATTCTCAGATCACTCGCTTTTAAATAATCTGGGGATGTGTTCAAAACAAACATTTATGGCACCTCCCTAGAAGCTGAACCAAGTGCTCAAGAGCAAGTTGAAAGTGTAGTTTCAAATGTTCTTTGTGTTCCTTCAGGAACAAAGAGCAGGCTAAATTCTTTAGCTATGTATGCTATCTAGTTTACCTACTAGCCCTCCCCTTCAAACTGCTGGAAAATCCTGAAATTGGTATTGGTATTGCTCCTGAACTCTGGATAGAAGTTTACTACCTGACCTATTGATGTCCTGGATTCTGAGAAAACTGTCCTGACTCTCCTATGTTGACACTCAGGCTTGGTACAGTGGCACTTCAGTCACAGCAGGTTGTAGGCAGTAGCCCATTTCCTATGCTGAAGCCCAACAATCCATCTAAGCCCTGACCTGGGCAGAATGGGAGTGGTATTTTAAGAGGAACTTCTAGGAATCAATAGGTCTAACCATTTTCTTGGTGCCTCAAACAAGGTTTCTTTAATGTAAGGCTTCCCTGCTGGTGGCTTCAAAATGGAATAATTTTCCATTCATACTGTTTCCAGGGATGTGGCAGTTGAGAAAATCAAAGTATTCCTGAAATATCCATGCTGGTGAGAAGTCCTAGGTGACATGAATATTAGCAAAGTCTGTCTCTGGTCCATCTCTATATTCAATGGGAGCTTTCTGGGCAGCTCAGGGAAAAGCTGCCTCCCCTCCTCTGTGCGTGTGCATGTTTGTAGGACAGAGACTACAGTGTCTGACAAAGGGAAAGGGCTGTCTTGAGCTGGTGCACCTTGCTTGGCCACTTACAGTGGGCCTTTCCTTAAGGGCATGGACTATGGGTGGAATGGCTGCCCACCCCTCTATTTTTAGACTGTGGTTACAGAGTATTTGTGAAATGAATGCTGTGTAGTTGATACAGAATTGGAGTCAGATAGCCTGGGTCTGCTGCTCACTGGCTGCCTTGCACTCATTTCTTTGAACCACAGTTCTTTCATCCATGGATGTGATTTTAATGCCTGGACCATAAGATTACTGAGAGTGGACAGAATACATTTCAAAGGCCTGTGTAGAGTCGGCCTTTGTATAAGGTGTTAGCCTTGGATCTGAGGGGCCCTAAAAGGATACCTAGGGTCCTGTCTATCCAGGTGGAGTCATACCCAGAAATTATAGCATCTTTTCTGAACTCTTTGAAATATTATTGTACTTGGTTCCATCATAGAGACTAGGATCTGTTTCCCTTGTAACTATATTATATATTATATGCGCCTAATGTACCTATACTACATAATGATGTTATATCCACCCAAGATAAACACCTATGAACAGGGATACAGAGGAAAAACAAACAGTTGATCAGGATGTTATTGGCTATTTCTGAGTTTTCCTGTTACTTATTATGGGTTTGTTACCACTTCATTTAAGTCATTCTCTAAAACTTTGGGAGAAAGTTCATGGGGAAAATTTTTAAACTGGGATGACTTTTGGTATTAGCTCAATCCTTTTTCCCTGAAAATTGGGTGGGTGGTGGTAAAAATTGGGTGGATGGGTGGTGGATTCAACTTCAGTGCAGAACACCTTAGAAATGTTCACAGAACTTCAGAAAACTAGAGGTCAAACTTAATTTCTAACCAGGAAAGTGAAGTCAGAGGATGTGGAAGTCATAGAATCTTCATGGGCTATTACATACCAGATTTTTTTGTGAATGCTTTACACAGAGTAACTCAGTGTTTACAATACTAAGGCCATGCTATTATCTCCACTGTACAGAGGAGGAGAGCAGGCACAGGGAGGCTAAGGGGCTGGTGGCAGCGGCCAGTGTGGACACGGTGACAGTGACCACAGGGGAGCGCCTTGTTTTCAGGGTGTGGATTGCTCTGGTGGGTAAAGGTAAGACTGGCATTAACAGAATGCCCCAAGCCACCTTCCCCACCAGTTCCTGAACCAGGAGTTGCTCTGGAGGGGACAGACACACACATACTAGCACCAGGACCTGCTTTGAACTTGGCGATGGCGCTGAAGAGTGCGGCGGCTCTCTCCGAGCAGGCATCGATGAGGCTGACGGTGTCGTGGCCGCTGTGGAAAGCCACCTTGCAGAAGGTACAGAGCAGCTGGTTGTCGTTGCGGCAGTACTCACTGATCCGGCTGGACGGGTGCTGGATGCAGATCTTCTCATCCTGGTCCTGCGCGCTGGTGTCCGCGAAGACGTGGTCCTGCATGGCGACGTCCGAGTGGAAGGCCTTGAGACACTCATTGCACAGGTTGAGGCGGCAAGTGACGCAGCGCTTGTAGGCGATGCGCCGGCGGCGGCAGACCTGGCAGTGGATAGGCCCAGCGGAGCGGTCAAAGCGCCACTTGAGGTAGCCGTGCTCCTGCATGTAGCGCTTGGTGAGGCGCCCCCGCAGGTAGTTCTCTGGAAGTCGCATCTTGTGGCTATAGGGCATGCAGTGAGAGCGGCTGCACACCGGGCAAATGAGGATGAAGAAGTTCTCGGTGACTTCAGCGAATTTTTGCAGCTGCCGCAGGCACTTCTCGCAGAGGCTGTGGTTGCAGGGCAGCATAAACGAGTGCAGGCGCAGCCGGTTGCACATGGGGCAGCTGAGGTGTTCGATCAGGTGGCTGTTCGCTGGTAGGGACTTCAGCTCATCCATCTGGGTGTCGCTGGTTCCCACACGCAGCGCAGTCTTGGACCTACAGGAAGAAACAAACAGGAGAGCTTGCTCTGCTTCGCAGGCACGCAGGTGGGATAGGGAAGATATGAGCTTCTGCCTGGGTGGCTGGTTCCTAAGCTGCCTCCTCCATCTTTTAGCTGAGTGAACTCTGCCTATTCCTCACACAGCAGATACCCATGCCATAGAATTCCTGGAGAAAATTAAATTTAATTTCATAACTCCAAGGACTGAAAGCATGAGCTGGAAGGGATCTGCAACTGCTTGGTGCAATTTTCCAGCAAGAGTAAAGCGGCATCCTGGCTTAGCATGGTCAATGGGGCCTTGAGGTTCTTTTGGTTATCGGTAATGTCATTGAACCCACAAGAGTGCAATGATTGTGATAGAGTCAAACAGAGCAGAACCACTTTACAGCACTGAAACTCAGACAAGAACATTCTCCAGATCGCAATAATGACCACAGTCTCATATGGATCAACAGGAGTGACAGCTGCTAGTTCCTCTCCCCCATCCTCATTCACTCTTTTCTTCCCATCGTCTATTAAGATAACCAAAGATTTACCTTCATGGTCCTACTTACTATGGATAAGTTACCACTTGTTGAAATGAGTCCATGAACCCAATCTTGCCCAACTGCAAGTGTGTTCTTGTTGGATTGTACTGAGAGGGCATCGACATTACTATTGTACATCAGAAGGAGCACAGACGGGGGGACTAAGTATTTCCAAGGACACCAGAAGGTCAGTACCTGAGCCAAGACTAGAGCCCACCTGTATGATCTAACTCCCAGACCAACAGGTAATGAATGGTACAAGTCTTTACCATGACTACAATCAACAGTTTCTTAACCTCCATCCTCTTAGTTTCCTCATCTTTAAATTGAAACTCACCGTACTATTGTTTCATGAGGCTTTGTATAAAGTCTAAGTGAGCTAATCCATGGCAAGGGGCTGGCTGTGGGTAGATTGAAAGCATTGAACAAGTGTAGTCACTGTAATAACTCTGCTACTAACTGTTTATGTTCACAGTCCAGGAAATTTCCACAGTAGAGGAACACAGTGGTCAAGGCCATGAAAGCATGTACTTCTGTGGAGTTGTGTATGTTAAGATCATTTATTTGTCTAACGTCTGAGGCTGATTTCCTGTATTTATCTGTAGGAACAATGGATGAAGTGAGAACATTCTTGTAAGATTTAAGGTTATGGTCTGAGAAGTTACAACCAGAGCAAAAGCAGTTTATGAAAATGAATGAATTGCCTGTGGGAACGGAAGTGTAAGCCAAGCATGACCTGTGGCTATTCTTGTCTCTATTCGCAGCAATGTTTGTGGACTGGTGTTGACACTGAGCCGTGTTCCTGTCTGCCTTTGCTTTTCTGCTTTCCCTGTATCTCTGTCTCCTTCCTCACTCTGTTGGCCAGGGACCTAAGTCTCAGAGTCCAGATCCTCAAAGGAACTCTCAGACATACTACAATGAGTGACCCTGTGATGACAGTCTCACTCCAGAAGATGCAGGTATCTGGAAATTTTATCTCTGAGGACAGTGGTGGTGACCCTATGGCACACATGCCACCGGGGGCTGTTTGTTATCATTGAATGCTCTAAAAGTTTTACCATCACTACCCTAGGATTTTAGATGCTGGGCTCTGTTTGCTGTGTTTCTTCTCTGCTTCCAAGCCTTCTTCTTGGGCCTAAAGGGCCAGCTGGATGTGTGGTAGCTGGATGGACTTCCTTTAGCAAAAATGTAGGACTCTGAGACTCAGTGTGTACCGTAAAGAGATATAATGTGAAAAATCAGAAAGTGGGAGGGTAGGAGGGGAGAAAGGAGAAGTCCTGGAAGAGAAAGAACACACACAGGTTTGACCAGAGCTAATGCTCAGTAAGCTGTGGTAGAGGTGAAAAGGAAAATGACAAAATGAATGAGGCTGAGATGTTGAGTAAGACTAGAATGGGGACAGCTGCTGGGGAGGAGAAGTGGTGTCCAGCATGGGGTAGGAGCAGGAAAGCAGAAGAGAATCCAGCTGGAAGTCAAGCTCCAAGATTCCAGAGCTGATCTTCTGGCATTTGCAATACTCCCCCCACTCAAAGACTCAGGTGTCAAATGGGCACTCAGGGGCCTTGGTTCTGTGCTAAAGCAGAAAGCCCAGCAGCCTTGTCCTCCTGCTGGGTTAGGGTTAGATTCAGGCCTGTTCTTGCATCTGGGTTCTCACCTGACTGGTGAGGTTCCCAGATTCCCTCCTTGCCCACTCCAGATCATTCTGCACATTAGAATCACCCAAAGAAAGCAGAGATTTTACAATTCTGATTCCCAGTTTGTACCTTTAGACTAATAAAAGTCACTGTGTTTACGAGCAAGGACAGGAATCAGAATACTCTGAAGATGCCCAGGTGATGTCAATGTACAACAAAGTCTGAGAGCCACTAATGCCTGAGACATCTTCCCAAAGCTGTGGTTTAATCCCTCCCTGGTTGAAAGAGGTTTAGTGACTCCCCATGGCTGGTGCGTAGAGAATGGGAAAGCACAGAGAAGACCCACACCTTAGAGCTTCCAAACTCACATCCAGAATCTGCAATGTTTTTTTCATGCATACAGCATGAGAGGGTCATGGGTGGTGAATAAATCATTAGATGTTTGCTAAGTGTTTAATTTTAAGGTTATAGTTCAAAGCTTTGCCCACAGAATTGCTTTCCCAGCTTTGAAAACCTTCAAACATTTCCCTTTGTTCTCTCTCCTAATCTTGTCATCTGTAAGTGCTGCGTTATGATCTTTCTTCCTCTCGGAAATCTACCTGTATTATATCACACTCCCCTCATATATTACATAAAAAGACTAATTTGGCAGAGAAGGAAGAGGGTATGCAGTACCTGACAAGAAGGATTACTGCCACAAATGAGTAATTAAGAGCCTTACTACTGTGATTTCTGGATGTGAAAGGAGAGAACTCCATTAAGAGTTCATAGGTGTCCAGGGTCAAAAGTCGCTCATTGAAGTTCTCACTTTTCCAATAAACATTTCAGATAGCAAAAGTTCATAGGAAGGAGAACAATTCATATTGTTCAGATGGCAAAGTGCATAAATAACACTTATCTCTACCCTACGATGGCAGTTGTCTTTGTCCCTATTTTTTAGTGCAGCATTTTGCATTTCAGAGCACAGATCCTGCATGTAAATCCTGACTGGATCTTACTATGCTGTGTGATCCTGGGCATCTTAACCTCAAAACTCAGTTTTCTTGGGGCTACAGTGGACACAAGATGAGGGTCCAGCATGATCATGCATGTAGCACCTGGCAAATTCCTTCCACACAAAGTGTAAGTTCTTACTATCTGGTACAGTTGTGAGGGCTGGAGTTTAGAAGGTTTCAGCACCTATTTCCATAGCTGATGGAGCTCTGGTTTGGAACTCAAGGTCTAGACCTGGTTTTTTAGGATATTCTTAGTTGCTACAGAATTCTTGGCCTTTCCTTTTCAAATAAAGCAGTGTACTCAGAGGTGGCACTGGCATGTTCTGGGGACTCCACAGCTGTGAGGTCCCCAGTTTTCCTGGGCCAACATGGTCTCACTTGAGAGCTAGGTACTTACGAGGTGCGGATGCTCTTGAGGCGGCCCTTGTGGAATATGATGGTGGCATTGCGGCAGCAGCGGCTCTCATAGTAGTAACACTTGATATTGCTGGTGGCTGTGCAGCAGCACTTGCAGTTAGGATCATTGGCCCAGGAGCAGCAGCACCAGTGGCAGTTGGGGTTCTCTGCGCAGGTACAGTGGCAGAACTGACAGTTCCTCTCATCCTTGTAAGGGCAGGGGAAGCAGGTGCAGTTCCGTTCCGAGGTGAAGATGAACTTGCAGCACAGACAGGAACACAAATGAGGACAGCATCTCTGCCACGTACAGCATGGGGAACAAACGCACATAGCAGTCTCCATGATGTCTGTACAATTGCCACCTGGTCCCCAGGGCTCTGGTCACCTCCTTTACTAGACTCCTGCTGTCCGTTCTCCAGTAGAGGAGTCCCTCCTTCTCCTCGTGAGGCCTTCTTTGGGGGCTGCAGGAAGTTAGCTGTTTATGAGGCCTTCACAGGTGATGTCCCTACTAGCAAGCACATGGGATGGCTTTACATACATCTGCTTGATGGCATTTGCTTATGTCACAATCCCTGTCTCCCTATTATCTCTGACCAAGTTGAGTAGGGAGATGACTCCTGAAAGTGGTGGCACAGGTAGGTTGAGGGTCTGTGTCTGTGGCTGGCACACGTGCCACAGTGGCTGCTTGTTATTGCTGAAAACTCTAAAAGTTTCACCATCACTGTTCTATACTTTCACAGGACCAGCTCCAGAGCAGAGGTGATTCAGTATGGATCCTGGAGGTTTGGCTGTCAGTCATCTTCCACATTATGGGACAAGTTTTATAAAATATTTCTTCTTGGTTGGTGCTTTGCCTGGAGTTTGAGTAAGTTGACTATAGGTTATGTCTTCACTGACTGAAGGCCTGGGATATGATGAATTAGAAAATAGATTGGCATGATTTTCCTTTCTGTGGACTTTTTCTGCCCTGTTACAACTCTTTATTTGTTGAACAAAAAACAGTGCTTACAAATAATAGTGATGGCACATTTAAAGAGACATCACCATTTGGAAAAATAATTAAAGGAACAATGGTATAGATTTACTGAAGTACGTCTTTCAGTGATCATTGAACTTGTTGGTCACTGCTTAGTTACTGTTATTTTCATGAGGCCTTGTACATAAGTCTCTCAGAGTTATCTCTTGACTTTCTTTGTAGTTTCGTGAAGTTTGTCTAAGGCTCAGGTTTTGTTTCCTTTCCTCCATCTCACCCCACCATTATTTCATTAAGGCTAGATCACTATACAGAATCAGTAACTTTTATTAGCATATGCTCAGAACCCCTCAAAAGAAGACCCTATATATATGGGAGGTACTTTACTTTCCTCTTTATGCAGCTTATAAAGAGTAAAAGAGCAGAAACTTCATAGAAACCATACTATGATACAAACGGTCTTTTCCAAAAAAGCAGAATAGAGAGCTGAATTTGGCTTCAAAAATTCATTGTATAATTTATTATCTCTCCCTGTGATTATCACTTTTAAAATAGAAAAGAAAATTCACTGAACATGAAATGTGCCTGCTTCAGATTTCTACAACTTAAAACCCTGGATCACAGGATATGTGCTTCACTTTTTTTTGATAGTATCGATTTAGTAACACATGTGCCAGGTTATACTGACACAGTAAAGGATGAGAGACTTTTTTCTTCATGTGTTTGAGCAAACTGAATTTTATCAATATTCTTCCTCATCCTGGAGTAACTAAAGTTTGCCTTTGAGTCCCAGCTTCAAGGTGCATTTGTGTCATGTGTCTGTGTGAGACCCCTTGGTTTCTTTAATTTTTTTTATTGAGATATATTTCACTTGCCATTAAATGTTCAGTTTTAAGGTGAATGGTTCATAGTTTTTAGTATATTCATTAAATTTTGCAGTCATCACCATTATCTAATTCCAGAACACTTCCATCACTCCCAGAGGATGTTTATTAGTAGTCACATCACTTCCCTTTTGGCCCAGCCCTTGACAGCAATCTACGTTTTCTGTTTGTGGACTTACTTATTGTGGGACTTCCTGTAAAGATGAGATTTGGGATTTTGTGTATGAATTCTTTAACCTGAAACAGTGTTTTCTGGATTCACCCATGTTGTAGCATGTATAAATATTTCATTTTTTCACTATTAGAAATATATTCCTGTAAGTATTTTTGTACAAACTTTTGTATGCACACATGCTTTCAGTTCTCTTGTACATAGAACTGCTGTATCGTATGGTAGCTCTGCTTAACTTTTTGAGGAAGTGGCAAACTATTTTCTGAAGTAACTGCACAATTCTACATTCCTATTAGCAATACAAGAGGATTACAGTTCTGTATGCTTATTCAAACTTGCCATTGTCCTTTTTGCCCCGATTATAGTCATTACAGTATATATGAGGTGGGATCTTACTGTGTTTCAGGTCTGAATTTCTCTAATGGCTAATGAAGTTGAAACTCCTATATGTCATTTATATAGTTTTAGAAATTTAGTTGTCTTTTACTATTGATTTTTAAGAGCTCTTTATATAATCTAGATCCTGCATAACAACACAATTTAAATTTATTTTCTCCATTTTCTAGGTTATCTTTTCATTTTAAGTAGTGTCCTTTTGTGGGGGTAGGGGTCTATAGACAAGAAAATAGAGTAGGGTTCTCCATAGATCTTCGAGTTAATTTTGACTAGAAAGAGTTGAAAACAAGCTTTGATACAGAAATTCTCCTGGGAAGCAAGTCAGAGACAGAGATAGAGGAAAACAAAACACAAAAATCAAAACAAAACCAAAAACCCAGATAAAGAGAGGCAGCAAATAGCTTTGGCATGTACACCAAGAGACCAGAAAAAGAGCTGACAGGCAGGACACAGAAAAAAGCCAAATATCAGCCACCTCCACTTCTAATAAAATATTGGGGAAGCAAAGGGGAGGGCTGCCTAGCATTAAGATAGCATGTACTCACATCCGTACACACTCGTACACACACATACACACACATGCATTCATCCATTGTCGAGCCACTATTGTAAAGTATGATAGAGATGCACACATCCCCTTACTAACTCTGGGGTACCATGAGTAAGTTACCCCTTTGCCAGCTAGCCACTCACTCCAAAGATAAGGCCTTAAAAGCTAGGCCAGGGACAAGTAAACACACAGGTGAAAGAAGCTGCACAAAGGCCACGGGAAGAAATGACAGTAGGCAGCAGCGCTCAGAAGCCAACCCAGCGACAGGAACTTCTAAGTGGAGGAGGAAAGACCACTCGCCCCTCATATAAAAGCAGCTGGGAACAAAGGGGCCACAGGTCCTCCATCTTTCCGAGACCCTGCCCTGATTCTTCCTTCTCAGGGTAGCTGCTATCCTCTCCGTTTCACCCTTTTCTTTTCCTCTTTATAAAGTAGTGTCTTTCTTTTGTTAAATTTTGTCCCTCTAATTTTTAAAATCTGGACTCAATTTATGATGCCGGTGGGCCGTTTGGACAGCAGAGCAGTGGTCCTTGTCCCCAGACAGAACATCTTTGGCTCCCTGACTAGGAGCCAGATGTGACACTCTGAAATACAAAAGTCTTAAATTTTCATGAAGTTTAATTAATATTTCCGATTTATTTTTGTAGCTTGCTTATTTGGTGTCATTTAAAAAATGCTAACTAATTCAAGGTCTTGAGTATTTATACTCATGTTCTTTTCAATTGCTTTACAATTTGAGCTTTTACACTTGGGTCATTGATCTGTTTTAAATTAATTTTTATATTTGGGGGGGCTGATGGGTCCAATTTCATTCCTTTGCATGTGGGCAACATATTGTTCCAGCACCTTGGTAGAAGGATTATTTTTGAAACCCTGTTGAAAATCTATTGAAAATGGGTGTATAATTCATTATTGGAACCTCAAAATCTGCTACTCTGATCTGTACACATTTTTTAAAAATACTAACCACATTCTATTGATTATTGCAGCTGCGTTGAAACTGGGTAGTGTGAGTTCTTCACTGTGGGTTTTTAAAAGATGGTCTTGAATATTTTGTGTCCTTCATTTATCATACTTAGTTTAGGCTTAATGCCCCTGTTTCTGCACAAAATTTATTAGAGTCCCGACAAAAATTACATGGAATCTGTAGAAACTTGGGGAGTGTTGTCTTCTTGTGTTCTAATCAATGAGCACAGAATTTTTTTTCATTTATTGAAATCTTCCTTAGTTTCTTTAAGCAATATTTTATAGTTTTCAATGTGCAGATCTTTCTTACACTTCTGTGGCTAAATTCATTCCTATTTTATCCTTTTTATGATACAGCAAATGGAATTATTTTCTTAATCTTATTTTTGAATTGTTCTTTGTTAATGTGTAGAAATACAACTGTTTTTTTTTTTTTTTTTCTTGTACTGGGGATCAAACTCATGACCTCGCACTTTCCAGGCAGGTGCTTGTGCCATTGAGCTAAGTTTCTGGCCCTCTTGTTTTTCTTTTTCTTTTGTTTTTTACAACTGATTTTTCCATACCAACCTTGCATCCTGAACTTTGGTGAGCTCCATTTATTAGCTCTAATCTGTTTTTGTCGATCATATATATACACAGTCTGCCAAAAACCTGTATACACACTTTTGGAAATGAAAACTCATATGGTGTTTCTTCATATGGGGACCCTAAAGTACATCCTGTATTGTAGGAAACCTGCTACACTGCCCACCTTTAGAGAAGAAATTGAAAATGTATGTGCAGCAATTGCAGTGACCAACGTTACCCGAAAGCAGTTCGTAGTTCTAAGTGCTTAGAAGCTAATGATAACCACATTAAGCATCTCTTGTCATTATAGAAGCCAAAGATAGCTTGTATTAATCTCATATTTCAATCAATTTAGAATTAAAATATTTATATAAATTTTTCTTTTCCTGAAGTGTGTATACATTTTTGCTTGTCTGTCTGTCTCTCTCCCTTTCTCCTCTTCCCAATTTGAATGTTTTCTCCTTGACAAATTGCTCTGACTATGTCTTCCAGAACAGTGTAGACATCCTTGAGTTACTCCTAATCTTAAGGAATCTTTAATCTCTTCACCATTAAGGATGATGTAGCAGGTTCAGGAAGGTCTGCTATAGTCCTAGCTTACTGAGTGTTTTTTTTCCCTTTAGTGTAGAAAGGGTACTAATTGTTTTCAGTTATTATTTCTGAATCTACCACATAATTTTTTTCTTTTTTATAGCAGTATGGTACATTACGTTGATTTTCATATGTTGAATCAGTTTTGTACTCCTAACATAAATTCTACCTGATTGTGATGCAGTTTAATATTTTGTGTTCAAGCTAAAAAGCTTGGTTTAGAAATGCTATGGTTTAGAAATGATTTGTTCCCCCCAAGATTTGTGTGCTGAAAGCTTGACTCCCAGGGTGGTGGGTGGTATGGAGGTGATGGAATCTTTAAGAGGTCAGGCCTAGGATGAGGTAATTGGGCCATGGGAATCACCCTCATGAGTGGATAATGCAGTTTTGCGGGAGTTCTAGCTCTAATGGGACTGG